ATTAGAACAAAAGTTATTTCATTTGTCAGAATGTCAGATCTCTTTGGGACACCCTGTAAAGGTAAGTCAATACGTTTACATTGTGCTTTGACACAAAAAAAACCACACGCATCATTGTAAAATCTGTAAGTTCATTTCTTCATTCGAAATATAAACATCATATATMTAATTTAATACAATATTATTACCGCAATCACATTGTCAAGACTTATAATTCATAAGTCATAGTCTTATCGCAGGAATATCTGATTAGGTTTTAGGACAATTACTTACAATGAGTGCTCAAAATGTACACAGAAATATGTAGCTTTGAGTAGTTTTTAAATTTCCTTATTTATACACCATTTAGGCTTTAGCGCACAACTCACCACAAATTCCGTCACTGAGTAGTGGGAATCCCTAAAGCCAATATGCCTCAACAACATAATTATTAATTATGTATTTCAAAAATCCCGCCAAATGCTAAAGTATTTCATAAAATCCTAAAATTAACGTACCGTAGTGGTTGAGTACAGTAGTTGGTCACATTGTAATTGTCCATTATCAAGTTGTATATCTATTGCACATTATATTATCCTGATTATCGAGTATTCGAGTTAATTAAAGTTTAAACAGTAAACACAGTATCTTATTTTGTGATTGTCCCGGTTATTTTTTTTTCATTTAAAATATTTTTATTCTTCTTTTCTTTTGTAAATTGTTTGCTTTATTTTTAATTATCTTCTGATATGGAAGAACGCGAAGATGTAATAGATAAAATGAAAGAAAGATTGGATGACTGCCGTCTATGTTTCAGCTCTACAAATGTTACAGTTCATATAGGGCAGCATTTGGAAAAAAATACATCAATTGTCGAAAAAATTCAATACTGTACTTCATTAATCGTATGTTTTGTCGTTTATTTAGTATTTTTGTCTATTTATCCAACTCAAACCTACTATTAAAATTACAAAATTGGAATGCAGTATAAATTCTATCAATCTATCATACCTATTGATTTTTTATTAATAACAAGGTTTAAAAACAAAAYAATATTATACTTGAATAATTTTTAGTTTTCGTTTAGTGTGTTGTTCACAATATACCTCTTTAAAATTGGTTTAGTTTTGTACTCAAACATTTAAATTTTCATTTCTTATACCAGTTGTACCTAAAATATAATAATACTYTGAACAGTAGGCAYCTACATTATATATWTCATTGTTRTGTCAAATTAATTAATGTAATGATGGAAYATGCAATGAGTAATTAAGTTATTTGTTAATTTAATGCCTTAAATACAAAAATAAATAGTATAATAAATAGTGTAGCAGTGAAAAGGTTATAATTTACCAGTATATACTTTACTTATATTTAGATCCTGGTGTGTACTTGAATCAATAAATTCAATTCTATATTCTATATTATCATAATATTCTTAAACAGACATGTGGCAATCTTTTTTCATCTGGATACGGGCACATCTAGTACATTGGAATTATAGTGACCGGTAGCAGAGGACAAAATTCGTAGAACTGGGGTATTCTATTTTGAGACAGAGTATAGGTGTAAGCAAATCAATAAAGATAACAGTCCAAATGAGTTGGTGTCTGATTATTTTTTAGTGTACTTACATTATTTTAGATATCTGTTAAGGTTAAAATTAATATTAAAATCAAAATCAAATACAATTTATGACTTTTCAGGTGAAAGTGGGTGATAATTTTCCTCAAAATATTTGTACAACTTGTGCTGAAAACTTAGATTTTATCTACAACTTTAAAAGTAAAGCAATAGCTTGTGATCTGGAATTATCAAGGAACGTCCACAAAGACATACATTTTACTTATATTCAAGTATCAGATGATCCATTAAATGTAAGTGTTATTATTATTCTATACATGAATGTGCTCATTAACTTTTTTGCATTTTATTAGATTACTTACAAATTAGACTTAGAAGAACAAGATTCTTCAGCTGATCTATTTGATAGTTGCTTATATAACATAGTGGATGGTGATGAACTAACGATTKAACCGGTCAATGTTACAATTGATACAAATAGCAAAAATACTGTGCACATTGACGAGAATACAAGTACTATTAAAGAAATCATAAATAATGATAACAATGAGTCGGATATTATTACTAAAAAACTGAATGGAAATTCGAACAACTATCAAGGTTCAAAAACTAACGATGTATGTATAAAAATATTTTTAAATCATGGATAATTGTTTGCTTATAGCTTATTTTATTTGTTTTAGCAAAAGAAAAGTACATCAGTTAATTTAAAACGTAGCTTAGATAATTCTTTATTTGAAAGTCAAAAACATAAATCAAAAAAAATAAAGAATGAAAATGAAATGGACAATGAAAAACCATTGGTTATTGTTAAAAATGGAAAAGTTGTATTTATTTGCGGTGAATGTAATTTTGAAGCAGAATCTATGATGTTCCTAGTTAGTCATCGAGCTCGCTTTCATTTAGATATAGGTAGTTTTAAGTGTTCAGAATGTCCAACTCATTACAAAACTTCAGGATTGCTTAAGCGACACATTTCAATGCATCATAATGTTACCCATATCTGTAAATATTGTGAGAAAAGATTTTCGAACAAACAAAGTCTTGATCGTCATACCAATTGCCATCATAATGAAACTCCATTAGAGTTTCAATGTGTCACCTGCAATGCTTATTTTGATACCTTGGACAAAATGGAAGATCATTTAGTTGTACATTATACAAGTCCTTCAAATTCATTTAGCTGTAATCATTGTGATCGTATATTTACAACATACGCTGCAAAAAACAAACATATTGATCTGGAGCATATGATTGAAATTGAGTGTGGCATTTGCCATGTTGTTTTACCAACTAAAGAAGCTATGGATAAACATAATAATTCTGTACATCAACCTAAAAAAAAGGAAAACAAAATGTATGAGTGCACTACATGTGGAAAATATTTTTCTGGTATTAAAGAAGTTTTAAGTCATAGAGAAACTCATTTATCCAAAAAAGTATAGTTTAATATTAGCTTGATATTATTATTATTATTTTATTTTTTATTTTTTATTTTTTAATATGCCATGACTGAATTTATTTTTGTATATGCAATTATTTATTTATGCAAAGTGATATATTTGAAAATTATTGTCAATATTAGTTTTAAATTTAAATATTATTTAGGTTACTAACTATCTAACATTCGGTATAAATATTCATTAGTGTTTATCACAAATATTGGCATTATATTAGATATCTTTGTTTTATTATATATTTTTGTTCTAACTATCAAAGCCGAATAATGACTATTATAGTATTATGACAATTCATAGTTAAGAGTAGCCATGCGAATAAATAAATAAATAAATAGTTAAGAGTGTTAAGACTTATGTAGCATTAATTTTAAAAATATAATTACAAATTTATAACCTAACCTAACAAATAAGGTTATAACTTGTAAATAAAAAAAAATACAATTATATTATTTTTTAAATTTGAATTATAGTTAAAATTTTCTAAATGTAACCTTAACCTAACCTAATCTAACCTTTAAACATCAATAACTGATGCAACAATTATTTTATAAAACTATATATACTTGTAAAAATGAAAAACAAATAGAATTAGTCATAGAAACTAACCTAACCTATACTTGGTACTTTAATTAATTAGGTTAAATGTACTTGTTAAGTTATCCATCTGTCCAAAGGTATGCTCTCTCCTCCATAACCCTGAAAGGGTCACCCTTTCTTTCCCCACAGGCAGGTAATTTTAGCGCCRAAGGGGCTTGAGCCCTCAATCGTCGTTCACTGAAAGTATTTTATAATTTATAAGTAATTTCAGTTTTTCACATTATTAGTAGTTAAAGTATTTAGCCATTATTTTCAATTTAATAATTAGTACTGGTATTTTCCACAATGAAATTATAGACCAATCTCTTTAACCTTATCTACTTCCAAATTATTTGAAATATGTTTAAAGGATTACCTAGTTACTAGATTTTCTTGTTAAATATAATTTTTTTTTTTAGATAGCCAATTTTGTTTTAGATCAGGAAGATATAGGTACAATAGACGCTATAATTTATCTTTCTGACTGGGTACACACTAATTCGAATAATTACAARACAATAGTTTTAATTTTTTTAGATTTAAAAAAAGCCTTTGATTCAATAAGTTGATCATCAAGTTTTGATTAATAAATTAGAATGCTATGGTATCTGAGGAAAAACTTAGAATGTATTTATCTCATACCTAACTTATAGATCTCGAGTAAATTAATAGCATAAATTGTATGTAATTCTCTAACAACAAAATACGGAGTTCCTCGAGGGACAGTCTTGGGTCCAATCATATTTATTATTTATATCAATAGCTTATTAAATCTTAAAATTAATAGATCTATCATTCCATAAGCTAATGATAAACTATTTTGGTTAAAGCAAAAAGTGAAAATAAATTGTCTAAAATRGTTAAAACTTAGTTGAATATGTTGTAAAAATGTTGAGTTTAACTAGAATAAAATCTATCGCATATGGCATAATATAATTGTATTCATTTGAAAACTATTTAGTGTTTTTAAAAATCTAAAACAAACCCTGAGTCCTTTATTATTAAGA